TTCAAGATGGAGGAAAAGTCAATCAATCACAGTAGCTTTGCATTTATGTAAAATTATGTTAAAAACTTGGCTTTTCAAACAGGCCTTCCCTCCAGCCAATTAATTGATCTTTATTTTTCTTCCTTGCGTCATGCCATCTTGGTAATATGTTGTTTGGAATTAATTGCTATAACTGTATCTTTGGTGATTTTTATACATGTTATATTGCTGTGTTTTTATCCATGTAAGCCGCGATATTCCCTAGGAATAATATCTGGATGGCACAGGGGGGTGGGTGGGTAAAAATCTAATAAATAAATAAAATAAATGTAGTCTATACTCTGAATTTGGTTAGTATCAACCTAGCAACCTATCCAAAATGTTTTGTTGCTATAGATGTGAATTTTTTTTTTACCTGTTTCATTCTTGTAGGCTAAATTTGCAACAATTTAAAAAAGTCTGCTCCTAGATGGACAAGATTACGGTACGTTTTAAGAAGCTTTCATGTCTTCACACTTTTAAAAAATACTCTTTGCAAAAAAAGTGTTCTAAAACTTGTACTTCAGGCAAACATCTTTGAATTTTGAACATAAATAATTGTATTTTCTGTAAAAGAAATATTCTTTACAGCATAGAGGATTTTTGTGCAAAAAAGGAGGGAAGGAGGGAATTCTGTTGCTGTCAGTAAAAAGTGCTCATCTTTTCACTCTTGAGGAGGGAAAATCTCACAGCCATTGCTTTCCCCCCCAAAAAAGATGTCTCAACCTGTCAAAACATACTTATTCACTGCATGCAAGAAAATTTGCAAGTATCTGTTACATCCTTATTTGCTGCTTTAAGAACACCGTATTGGCCAACATTTGATGGGACCTGGCAGCAAAAGTATACTACATTCAGTATGCTAAGGAACATTCTTTTTATTATAACTGAAGGTGGCAATCTGTGTGTTCTGGGCCCTAACTGTGTTCAAAGAGTTACCCAGCTATTCCTGTGCAAAGCTTCAGCACTCAGCATACCTGCAAAGATCTTTATAATCAATCAAACAAATCACCATTCTCAGAAAATGGGGTTGCTTTTAAAAGGGGTAATCTATAACCTTAGTGGAACTCATGGTCAGAGCCTGAAGATAAATGAGGTTACAGTACTTGCTAGTAAATTAATAGTATAATAATCAAGAGCCCTTGTTTCTATAAAAGTTACGGGAAAAACATTTCTATGATTAAGCATAAGTATCCTCAAGCTAATTTTCCATGGTGTCAAAGTATAGCACAGTAACATACATACAGCTCACTATGTACACCCCACATCTTTGCAAAAGATCCGTATGTTGCTACCTTCACTAGGTATAGGTGCATACATTAAGGATGTAATGAATATTCAAATTATTTTGATGAAAAATTATGCTTCAACACATCAAGACATCTAACTGAAAAAAACTGTCAACTCCTATAGAAATTTTGCTGCTGTATTGAGTATGAGAAGACCGGTAGGTTGTTGTTGTTGTTGTTGTTGTTGGTGAGAAGACCCATAGGTTTTTTTTTGTTTTGTTTTTGCAACAGCAGCATTTACCAAAGGAAGGGAAAAAGAAGGAAAGGAGGAGTCAGGAATATTCTATGTATTTCATAGAATCATAGAATAATGAAGTTGGAAGGGCCCTATAAGGCAATCGAGTCCAACCCCCTGCTCAATGCACAAAGACCTTGAATTTCATTTTAAAAAATGTGTACTCTGAGAAAAATATACCGGTCTTGTACACAATACAAGGCTTTTAATATAAAATGTGAATTCTCCATGAATTCTTTTTTGAAGTAAGTCCCAAGATACAAAAAAATGAATAAAAACTGTCCCAATCATTCTCAGTGGGGAAAAAGCATTCAGTAACAATAACCTGCAGTAGAGTATGAGTGGGAAGGTAGGCAGAAAGAACTAAAAAGAATATTAAAATATACAGAGAAAACTCAAGCAATACTTTTAAAAGTAACCATAATTGTCAAGTACCTCCATGAGGGGGAACAGAGATGATTCTGTATGAGTAAGAAAAAGATTGCGTTCTTCAAAGAACCTCCAGGAATAGCCCCAGTATTACTATACAATAATGTGCCAGTGTTGTCAGCAGAAAAAAAAAAGGATGCTAAGCTTTACGTAGCAAAGGGCAGCCTGAATGTTGACAACACCAACAGCAGAAGTCAATGGTCTACAAAACTGGTCCCCAACCTTTTTAATGCCAGGGAACGGTTTCGTTGAAGACCATTCTCCCAAGGACTAGGTGGTGATGGCAGTGTGTGTCCGTGTGTGTCCGTGTGTGTGTGTGTGTGTGTGTGTGCGCGTGCGCGCGTGTGCAGAGATGGTGGCAGGGGACGTGCATAGCTGTGGGCAGGCATCAGTACGTGCGGGAGGGTGTAGATGGTGGCGGGGGACGTGCATACCTGCGGGCAGGCATCAGTACGTGCGGGAGGGTGTGCATACGAAGGAGGTGGAGTGCGCACACGTACGCGCGCATTCCTTCGGCCCTCAAAGATCTGTCTCGGTGGCCCAGTTGTTCAAAGGCCACGGACCGGTCCTGGGTTTGGGGACACCTGGTCTACAGAATATCATCTTGTGCTCACTACCATTCACAAAGTGACACCAAGCAAGAGAAAATCCAAGAAGCTAACTTCTTTTTTCATCAGTTTACCACTTCTCACAGAAACAAAAAGTAATTGTCAGTGCTGTTTTTCAAGAAGTGTGGAACGGTAATAAGCACAAGCGGGTATCCTGTAGACCAGCCATTCTCAGCCTTTTTTGGCCATGGCTATAAACACAATATGAAAGAAATACAGGCCAAATCAGGACTGTATATGTTGCATAACAAACCTTACAAACTGATGTGTGAAGAACTGTTTCCAGTCTGTGACTCCTTCAAATGTGCCAGGAGCCTCCAGGGCCTGCTATAGACCACCTTGACTGCCGGTACTGGTGTTCTCAACATTCAGGCTGCCTGTTGCTATGTAAAGGCCTTTTCTGAGGATCAATATTTCAGCCCCTGAAGTCTGTATTCTTTCCCAATTAAAAAACCAAGTGGGGATCAATCATACTGCTTCAAGATAAGCAAGATTGGTATTTTCAATTTGTTTTAAATCTGGGGACATTTAGGGTAAAGTGTTTCTCCATGGAGGGCAGGTTTAAAACAGTTTTACTTTTGTAAAAAATCATAACTTCAAAATCTTTTGCTCAAACTTCCCCATGTTTGGCATTGACCAAGAGCAAACTATCTGTTACAACTGATAATTTGGTGATAATCTAAAATCCAGTTTCAAAACCATAATGTTTTGTTTAGGCTGCTCGTTTTTAGAATTGCCTTGAAGAATGTTGATTTTCTCTGCTGTGATTTTTTTTAAAGATACCAAGATATCACTGCCATCACATCTCGTCACTGAAAACACTGTTGGGGTTGCTTACATTGGGAAATCCGCTTAAATAGATAATCTGTCAAAATGTCCAGCTGAACCTCCTAACTGAAGGAAAGCTATAAACTGTTTGGGCTTTACTGGCACAGAGAGTTTCATGCCACCTGGAGAAGATGAACAATATAAATCTGGGGTTCATATGTCAGATAGAGAGATATGGATGGGGCATGTCTTGGACAGACAGACAGACAGAAAGAAAGAAGGAAAAGAAAGAACGAACGAACGAATGAACAAAAAGACCTTCTTATGATGAGCTTTGCCAGCTATAATTACTGTTGCACAAAAAGAACAATGGTTGGAAGACTTTAATGTAAATGATGGAAGATAATGGCAATAATTTTATTAACACTGGTCATCAGCTCTGGAGTTGTACACCAAATTCTACTGTATTCAGAGATTACAAAGGATGGGTGGTCAAGTGAATTTTTAATCCACCATTAAAATCAGGGCAATTCCAGTGGGTTCAGGGGTCAATTTTCTCCCTATAGGAGAGTCACAAAGACCACCAAAATGAAGCAAAACAAAATAAAGTATGGAAGTGGCCCAAAGTCTATTTCCCATTTTGAAAAATGGGCATTTATTTACTTCCTGGTGTTATACTCTCCAAAGGGCTTCATGTCTTATTTCAAAGGTGAATTACTGCTCCTGAAGGCTTTCAGAGCAATTTACTTTCTTCTTTGCTGCTGAAAACCATGTTTCGGCAGGATATGGGGGACTCTAACAGGGCTGGGGCATGCAAAAATAGCCTTCGAAGCCACGGTTGGGGGGGGATATCATCCAGCTTTGATTTACGTCTTCAATTATTTCACCCTCAGGGCTGCAAAAAACTTTTGGGGGCAAAAAACCCAAGGCAGGAGTAAAAATAATAGAATGAAAACAACTACTAAGCAACCCAAATTCATTATAAGAACCACAAGTGGTGAAAATTACATCAAGATTTCAAAAGCAGAGTTAAGTAGCTGAAATACTAGTCTCAGAGGAAGATGTTCATGGGAGGCATGCTATGTACCTGGAACCACCTTTCACTTGATACTGTTAAACATTTACAACTTCTACAAAAAAATTCCATGGAAATTTTATTTGGTGCAATTAGTCACATGACTTGCGATATTTTTCCATGAGAACTTTTAAGGAGCCCAGCTCTGTCTTGCAAATTCCAGTAGCTTATGTAGCCATACAAATTCTGACAACATTTTAATATGACTGTTTTATTTGCAGAAACATTGGCCTTCCAGTTCAAAGCAATAGGCAGCTGGAAGTTGGAACCTTTATGCCTCTAAACTTAAAAAAAAAGAGTGTCAATTTAACCAATTTCTATTAACAACATTGGAACGAATTACAATTAGCCAGGGTATTGGCAACCTCTTAATTGCATGCCCTTACCAACTAGCAGTGTTTACCACCCTAGAGGTTTAGCCCAGCTGTTCTTGCAATGATTTCATAATCAATGTTGTCTCTCTCCAACCTATTTATTAATGCAATTCTTTCTCATTAACAGTGCAAATGGGACTTGAGGCTTTGTTATACAAACAAATAAATTATTGAACTTTGAAACATTTTTAAGCATCAGCATACCAGTGCTGCCATTGCCCAGCCAGTCTTATTGTAGATGAATTCCAAGTTATTTCGCCGTAAGTACAGCAAGCCACCGACCAGTGACACCAGGAGGGCCAGTGCAATAGTACCAGAATAGTTTGGTGGCCTGAACACTCTAATCTGTAGAGGGGAGAAAAGGCACAGCAAGTATTACGTATTCCACTTTCTGGTGCAACACTATACATATATAGACATTTCAAACATTAAGCAAAAGTTGTTCACAATGAAACTTGTATCTGTGGAAACTAGTCCAGTAGAATGGCATTATTCTAAAATGCTTACTTTAAAAAAAATTGGGGGAACATCAAACCAATGCCTGAATGAGTATACTTTTTGAATAGAGAGTGGTCTTGAATAGACCCCCTTCCTGATTAACACAATGGCAAGACTTCAGCTACAGCATCTGGCAGCATGCATCCTATAGGTCAGTGGTCCCCAACCTTGGGCCTCCAGATGTTCTTGGACTTTAACTCCCAGAAATCCTGGCCAGCAGAGGTGGTGGTGAAGGCTTCTGAGAGTTGTAGTCCAAGAACCTCTGGAGGCCCAAGGTTGGGGACCACTGCTATAGGCCCCATGCAGCTCTGAGGGCCAAATGAGGGCCTCAGCTCCCAAATATATGTTTTTTTTAAAACAGAACTTGAAATTCTCCTTAAAACCTCTAGAGGGAGTGGCAATGTTACCATGAGGGTCTTGCAGCACTCCTGGGACTCTATAACCCCCATTTTGAAAAATGGACATTTTTGGCTATCAGGAAAGTGAAAGGAGACTATTTCAAGAAACTCTTACATTTTTGTAAGAAAATATTGACACTGGCATGGGAATTATCCCCCATAAGGTGCAGAGTATGTGTAGCCCTGGGACCTGTAGAGGCTGCTCAGTCGGAGCTAAAAAGCTGGTCAGGCTAACTTATGTCACTGTACTTCAGAGAACAAACCAATAAGGAGGGATAAAAACCACATATAAAATTTTTATATTTTAGCAATAGACCCACTAGACTGAGCTATCCACACATACATGCATCTAAAAGTAGTTTAGATATATAAAGAGGATAAAAACATTTCCCCTAACCTTAAAAAGAAAAATAAAACATTACAAATGCACACTTTTACAACAGATAAAAAAATCCAATTATCCTCTCAATTATCTCACCTCTCCCAAATAGCAGAGAAAAACAGTACAGTGGTGCCTCCACTTACGAACGTCCCTACTCACGACCATTTTGAGTTATGACCAGCTGCGGCCGCAAAATTTGGCTTCGACTTGCAACCGGAGCTTCCACTTACAAACACAAAAAGGCAGGGGGGAAGCGGGGAATTCAAATTCTTAACTGTAGGTGGCGATGAGGCTGCTTCTTTGTAGCTCTTTTGCCCAGCAATCAGAGTGTGTGTGTAATCGTGGGAGGCTTGGGACTGCCTCCTTCTGCTTCTGAGTGTGTGCGTGTGTTTGCAGGAGACTTTGGGCTGCCTTGTAAGGTAAGGTGCTGTTTCCAGCTTTTAAAAAACTGTTCTGGGTGTTTTTGCAGCGTGGTTTTGAGCTGGGGGGGTTATGTTTCTGTGCTGTGATGGTTCTTCGGGGTTTGTTTGTTTGTTTGTCTTCCCCCCATTTCCTATGGGTCTTGCGGGGTTTAGTTACTTTTTGGATTTTTCCCCATTTCTGATAGGTCTTGGGTGGTTTGGCTACTTTTTAGGGTAGTTTTAGACTAGCTGCCCTTTTACCAGGTCCTATTATTTATATGTACAAAAAAACCTGTCTTTTTCACAAACAAAAACTAAATCGAGAAAAGAGATCCCCGACACAAGGAATAAAATTATTGTCATGTAGTGACATATATAATGAAGGTATCCATATAACAGCAGTACAAACCTTTGGCATGATATTAACAGAAGAGCCATATGCAAATAACCACTATAGTGTACCTGTCCTTTTAATTCTGACTTTGTAGTAGACATTTCTTAGGAGAATAAGCTGCATTCTACTATAATGTGTTGAAAAAGGTTTGTGTATGTGTCTGTGCGTGAGAGAGAGAGAGACTGATTACATGGAGGATACTCTACCAAGAGTGCAAGGATTGCAAACCATTTTGTGTTGTCAATGGTTATGGTTACCCTACATAAAAGATAGTAATTTATTTGGGGCACAGTCTTCCTATTCTTATCTGGCAACTGCTGCAAATTTGTGTTGTCCCCCACTCCTTGTTTTTGCCATCCCCTCCTTCATGATTGTGATTGACTGATTGATTGATTGATTGATTGTATTTATATCCCGCCCATCTGATCAATTGACCACTCTGGGCGGCTAGTTCACCTATCCCCAGTATATTAGTTATAACTTTGCACAAGTTGTTTCCCAACTCTTCATGTTATTTGTATGCAGATAAATTGGAGGGAAGGATTTCACTGAATTCCTCCATAGAAGGAGAGATTATCCAGTAGTTCACTGGAAGCCGCCTAGAGTGGCCTTTTAGGCCAGATGGGCGGGGTATAAATCAAATAAATAAAAAATAAATAAAATAGTTTCTTAGAGGTGGAGCTCAGCATTAGCAGTGGACACTATACTGTTTGTTCCCTCCCTGCCTTTTCATCAGTATTTTTTATTTGTATGTGTGTGTGCATGTGTACATGTGCACTGCTGCATGTTAGACTAGCAGTAATTGTTCTAGGCAGCCTAGTCATCCCTTTGCTTCTTCTCACTACATAGTATTCCCCCCCTCCACTTTCTATTACACATTTCTTTATTGTTCTGCAGTTTCACTGGCTACCCACAGTTACTGATCTAAAAAAGTTCTGTTGAAAGAGGTATCTTACAATCTGTTCTGGTTACCTCTGTGTTTCAGTTGAATTGTTGAAAGTAGTGGGGAGATGACCCTGCTGTCTATCACAGAGAGGACAATGTAGTAAAAGACAAGACATGCTCACACAGTCTTCACACATTTCATATGTAAAGTAAACAAAAGAGTTCTAAACTCACCCATGAACATCTTCGTAAAGATTTTCCTCCCTTGAAATGAAATTCTTAAGGTAATACTTTTTCATCAAGTTGAATGTGAATAGTCAAAATTCTCACGGAAGAAATAGTTAACACAGCACTAGAATTAGTGATGTTCCATACATGTAGCGTTCTTGCTAATTGTGGATATGTTCCCATCTTGTGCATAGGCAAATCTATATAGCTTGTTTCAGTGTGGGCAGAGTGGAGAGAGGTTTCCACTATGTCACACCACTTCACAGAAGCTGAGTGAATTCAGTGCAGTGACCCCCAGGTCTCAAAACTAGGATGGCTGGAAAAATCCTTATATTTCACATTTTCATGTACAGTGGTGCCTCGACTTACGACCATAATCCATTCCAGAAGATGGACGTAACTCAAAATGGTTGTAAGTCGAAACACCAATTCCCATAGGAATGCATTGAAATGCAATTAATCTGTTCCAGCCGAAGGGAAAAAATCACCAAAAAAAATTACTGCAAGACTCATTGAAAATGCAATTAACCCTGTAAAAAAGAACTTTCTGATGATTTCCCCCCTCTGGCATAAGAGCACAGGTGTCACTTGAGATGTGAACCCAACATCTTCTACTCCAAACACTCACATCCACCCACTGATCTAAAAATTTTTAACTACAATGGTGCCTAGACTTATGAACTTAATCTGTCCCAGAAGATGTTCGTAAATCAAAACATTCATAAGTCAAAGCACCATTTCCCATTGAAATGCATGGGGACGGGATTAATCTGTTGTAGCATTTCAAAATATACCAAAATAAAAATAAAAATAAACAGATCAAGTCCTGGCTCACCTCCCGCTCATTTCTCGCCGCCCTCCGTGGACCGATAATGCCGCTGATGCCCGACGCCAGCTCCAGAATTGGCACCAGCGCCTGCTTGCCGGAGCGGCTGCCTTGGTCCTTGGTACTTCTCACCGCCCTCCATGGGCCGATGGCAGGAAATTCAAATGGTCTCCTGGCTGGGCTCTACCTCCTGACACTGGGTCTGTCCATGCTGCTCGCTTCCCTGCTGGGCTCTGCCTCCCACAGCCCGGCTGGGAAGCGAGCAGTGCGGACGGACCCAGCGCCGGGAGCCAGAGCTGGCCAGGAGGCAAGGATCCATCCCAACCAGGCTCTGGCTCCCAGCGCTGGGTCCGTCTGTGCTGCTCGCTTCCCCACCGAGCTCTGCCCAGCTGGGAGGCCATTTGAATTTCCCACCACTGGCCCACGGAGGGCGGCGAGAAGCACCAAGGACCCCGGCAAGCAGCTGCTGGTGCTGGTTCCGGAGCTGGAGCCGGCGTCAGGCACCAGCAGCAGCATCAGTTCGTGGAGAGTGGCAAGGAGCGCGCAGGAGGTGAGTCAGGAGGCGAGCAGCTGATGCACCCCAGTCAGGCTCAAGCCTCCCAACACTGGGCCACCCCTGCTGCCGCCGTTGCATCCCTTTCTGGAACCGTTGGGGTGAAAGAGCTACAAAGAAGCAGCCTCTTCGCCCCCAACAGTTAGTACATTTAAATTTCCCGCCCTTTCCCTCTGCCTTTCGTTCTTTCGTAAGTCAACGATCCGTTCGCAAGTCAAAGCAAAATTTTGTGAACGGAGCTGTTTACAACTCAAAATGTTCGTAGGTCAAAGAGTTTGTAAGTCAAGGCACCACTGTACTGGAGTTGTTTTCTTAGCATTCTCCCTTAGCATTCTGAACTGTATTCTGAATTAAATCAAAGCAAAATTTTGTGAATGGAGCTGAGTTTGTAACTCAAGATGTTCGTAGGTCAAGGAATTTGTAAGTCAAGGCACCACTGTACTGGAGTTGTTTTCTTAGCATTCTCCCTTAGCATTCTGAACTGTATTATTAATTGTAAAGGGAGTTCTACTCTTGAAGAAACAATGTCACACAGTGTTCTTGCTTGTTTCATCCGTACATACTTAAACAAAGTTCTTCAGCATATTTACCAACCAATTCTAGATCTACCGCATTGTGAAAAACCTTCCAACATGTGGAGTTATTACTTGCAATATGCAATATTTCAAGTACATGCTCATATTAATCAACTAATTGGTACACCATCATTCTTGGGTTCTGCTAGGAGACAGCCAGATTAATATTTTAGCTACTGAGGCAAGATTGAAATATATTCTTTAAAAAAAATTCAAAGTTACTACAGAGTGACAGAGTAGCAATGATGGTACTTTTATTATTTTAATACATTTTGTCAAGTACTCTTACAGGTAAAAGTCATTTGAAAGTGTGTGTGTGGTAATCCCAGTTCCTAGGGTCAATTTGTCACAGAACACAGAGATAAGTGTGGATCAGTCTCTTAACTTTGACAAGTGACTTACATGAACATCCGTTCTGTCAGCTATCCACTTAGCTAACTGTTCTGCCGCGAATCCAATTCTCTGCAGGTCAAACGTGTCAGCTCTCTTGGGCTTACCTTTCGGAGGGAAATGCATGAACGTCGGAGCAGAGTTCATATTGAGCTACAATAGACAACCAAGATGCCGTCAAATATTAAATAAACACATATGTTCTTTGCCTTTCTCTGTCTTTTAAGTAACATTTATCTAAAACCTAACTAGGTATATAAAACTTAACTACTAATCTTTCCTCGCTAACCTACTTCACAAAACCAGTGCAAGAATTAGTCAGGCAATATGTGTGAAACACAGAGCATACTCAAAAGCACTGACATATACTTATTTTCCACTAATTAAATGCGATATTTTACTTTGTCATATCATATCTAGAGTCAGGAAAAGTTTTCTGCTTTTGTTTTATTTTTGTTGTCTCAGCTCTGATATGGATAAATTAGAATACAGTGAAAGGTGTGTGTATGGTGGGATGCAGTTAACAATAAAGAATAAAATTTGCTGATATTTGGTATACATATCCAGAGCAACCTTCTTTACCAAGACTGTAGGTTCATTACATAGCTAAATTATGTTACATCAATACAGTATTTAAATGTTGCAAATTCAAATTATGTACAATAATCAAGCTGGATGTTAAATAATTGGATTTATTCCAAATACAGTATTCCATAAATAATTGGATTATTCCAAGTACCACCTCCACTGACTTTTGTTGGCAGTTCAATATGATGTGAAACAGCAAATTGCGGGGGGAAATGCATTAAATTTTTGTGTGTGTCAATCATAATGTTTCAAAAGACAGTACACAGCCTTGTTAAACTAGACCACATGTTGATTTGTGATCCAAGAAAAGGTGGCTATGGACAGAGAGCTCATTAGAAGCAAATCTTGTTCTCATCCTTGCTTTTCGTCTTAAAAAAAATCATCAATATAAATTAGTTATATTTATGTATGTTTACATCTATCAAACATCTATCAGTGGTAACAAAGGATAACACTACATGAAGCAGCAGCTATGGCATGGCCACTAAACACAGCTCTCCTGTGTCCTTTCTTTCTCCTCATAACATAGAGTATTGCTTTTATCTGTGATGTGATGTCACCGCACTAAACATTTTGCCCTCCAACAGAAGCCAATGAGCAGAATGAGGAGACACATGCAGTGAAGCCAAATCACAGATCACTGATACAGATAACAGAGATAAGGAAAGAACATGACACTGAAAGCGGGTTTCAGACACCTAGCCTATGCCTGTTAACAATCTACAGTTTCGCCCGAACTGTTGTATACTGTACAGCATTTGTTCCATGCTATTCTAATCAAATCATTCCCTGAGCTTAGAAAAATAACTTTTTGCTCTGATAGTCTGTCATATATTCCATCTCCCTTTATATATTGAGGGGGACAACTCTGAACAGAAAGCTTGTTATTCATTACATGGAATACTAAAATACTGTATAAAGGTTATTCATGATAATGTAAACCATGAATTAGATATTTGTATGAACACAGTCAGTGTCAAGCAAAATGTTAGGTATCATTCCTTCTGGTATCAGCTGTTGTAGCATGATGAGATTTTTCACCTCAGTAACCACAACAAACAAAACAAAGTGGCCAGGATCCTGTTCTACAGCTGGATTGACATCACCAGCAGACTACCATGAATTATCCTGCTTTGATTTGTTTTGTGTACATCTTTGTCTGACTATGCACTGTACACAGTGAAACCTGAAACTGAAACAGGAACTCCTTAATCAACAGCAATTTTTTTGTTTCCAATAACATCACACGTATTGTGCAGGCAGAGCTATGGGACAGGATACCTGCTGCTCCCTGTCCATCATCTAAGCTCGTACAGTTACTTTAGAAAAACAAATCTAAGTAAATAACAAAGTACTTCTAAAATGTTGGCAATGAAGTGTAGGAATATATTTCTTTAAAAAGAATTGCACAGAAGGGAGTAATCATTTAGCAATTCACACTCTTACCTGCTGAAAAACATCAGCACCTTCATCATAATCAACTATAGTGAAGAAAAGTTTGTTTGAAAATGCGGAAGAGTAGCGCCACGAGTTAGCCAGCACTTGATATTCCTCATTAGCCTGCCTGTAAGGTTAAAGACAGAGAAGCATGCATTCAGCTTTCTAATAAGTACAACATTAACAACTGCATAGATTAAAGTGACATAACATTTTAAAAACATTACTTTCCACAAAAATATCACCAAACTGTATTTTTTAAAAAGTTGTAAGTAAGCCCAGGAAGCTGGAAATGAAAGAGAGAAAAGGCTATAGGCATAATAATAAAAACAAGCATTTACAACACTTTGAACCCTCTCATATGCTTCAGTATCTTATGTCAGTAACCTCCAAAACAATCTTAGAGAGTGCAACCCTAACTCCTAGTGTTGTATTCTGTGCGATGTAAGGATCTGGTGCAGGCACTCACTACTGGGCCTCTACTGGAGAAGCTTCAACTGGGAGTTTCCACAATGGCAGAGACACCCACTGCACCTCTAGAGAACTTAATGAGTTCAAAACTCCCACAAATGTTAACAAACACAAAACCCTCAAACAAAAGGATTCCAAGGGCTGGGTCTAAGATGTCTATAGATCCTCTGTGTTCCAAAATGCTCTCCCACCTCAAGAGAGGCCCTGTCCAGAGCCTTTACCTATACCAACCTGGAGCTAGTGTAGGAAAATCACATCCCACTGTATCCAAAGAGGAGAAAGGAAAGAAGGAAGTGGGGGGGGGAACAGGTCCATCTTTTGCCCTGACCAGCACAAATTAATAGTATAGTGGATAAGTTGACAGAGTAACAAGGATGGTACTTTTATTATTTTAATACATTTTGTGGAAAAAGTCATCTTAAAGTGAGTATGAGGTAATCCCAGTCCCTATGGTCAATTTGTCACAGAACATAGAGGTAAGTGTGGTTTACTGACAACTAACAACCACTAAGAATTCAAAAAAAAAAAAAAAAGCGCAAAACCCTGTAACAAAGATCTGAAAGTTTTAAGACTAGCCTGAACTGCTGGATAGCTCAGCGGTTTAGACATCTGGCTGCAGAGCTAAAGTTTGGGAATTTGATTCCCCACTATCCTCTTTAACAGGGGCTGGACTTAATGATCCATAGGGTCCCTTCCAGCTCTGTAATTCTAAGATGATGACGACGACAACGATTATCATTACTAAGTATGATTACCTGCATTACTGCATAATCATACAACAGCAATACCAAAGTCAAAGGACGAAGTGGGATATTAGCAATTTTGGGGGGTAGAAGAGAGAAATCAAAGAATTTTCCAATAGGGCAGGTTAAAAATTGGAAATACTTCCTCTTTACACTGCAACTATTAGAATCCCTCTGCCAAACTGGTTCCAGCAGTGCTAATTGAGATCCTGGAAGTTATAGTACACGGAAGCTCAAGATCAGGTAAGTCACCATACAGATATAGCAATGTTTCCGTTTTACAGTGGTGCCTTGACTTATGAAATTAATTCGTACTGGAACGGTGGCCGCATCTTGAGCTTTTCATAAGTCGAATCACCATTTTCCATAGGAATGCATTGAAAACCATTTAATCCATTCTGGCTTATTTTTGTTCTTCTGTAGAGGTGCCGTTCTTAAGTCAAAGCACTAGTTCCCATAGGAACTAATGCAAAGCCGGTTAATCCGTACTCTACCACTAGGGGGAGAATTTTTCTTGTTTTAACCTAAAATGAACTTAGGTCAAAAAAAGGGTAGGAAAGGAGGGAGTAGGGAACACCTTCTAAATAGAACACCTTTAAAAACAAGCACCTTTTAAACAAAACCAAGCACCTTTTGAGTCTACAGTAAACTCCATTTTAAAGCCTGGCTGCATCAACAAGCACCACAGCCCCTCACAGAATATTTTCTGATTTTAA